CCTGTCTTTCTCCTCACTTCCTCTCATTCTCTCTCTCTCCCTCTCTTTCACCCTAGCTCTCTCTCCCTCCATCCCTCCCTCCCCCCTCTCTCTCCTTCCTCCTCTCTCCCTCTTTCTCTTCCCCTAACTCTCACCTCTTTCCTTCCCTCTCTCTCTTTCCACCTCCCTCCCTCTCTCTTTTGCACTCTTTTTTCTATTCCTTCCTTTCCCTCTCCGTCTCACAACTTTCCCTCCCTCTCCTTCTCCCCCCCTCTCTCTCCCTCTCTCTCCCACTCTCTCTCTCTCTTCCTCCCTCTGTCCTCCCTCTCTCTCTCCATCCCTCCCTCTTTCTCTCCTTCTCGCTCTTTCTTCTTCTCTCTTTCCCCCTCCCTCTGTCTTCCCTCTCTCTCACACTTCCTCTCTTTCTCTCTCTCCTTCTCTCCCTCCCTCTTCCTCTCTCTACCTCTCTCCCTCTCTATCCCTCTCTCCTTTCTCCTCCCTCTCTCCTCTCTCTCCTCCTCTTTCCTCTCTCCTCCCTCCCTCTCTCCTCTCTCTCTCCTCTCTCCTCTCTCTCTCCTCTCTCCTCCTCTCTCTCTCTCCTCCTCTCTCTCTCCTCCTCTCTCTCTCTCTCCTCCTCTCCTCTCTCTCTCTCCTCTCTCCATCCTCTCTCCCTCTCCTCTCTCCTCTCTCTCCTCTCTCCTCCTCTCTCCTCCTCTCTCCTCTCTCTCTCCTCCTCTCTCTCTCTCCTCTCTCCTCTCCTCTCTCCCTCCCTCTCTCTCTCTCCTCTCTCTCCTCTCTCTCTCCTCTCTCTCTCCCTCTCTCCTCCCTCTCCCTCTCTCCCTCTCTCTCCTCCTCCCTCTCCTCCCTCTCTCCTCTCCCTCCTCTCTCTCCCTCTCTCTCTCCTCTCTCTCCTCCCTCTCTCCTCCTCTCTCCTCCTCCTCTCTCTCCTCCTCTCTCCTCCTCTCTCCTCCTCTCTCCTCTCCTCCCTCTCTCCATCCTCTCTCCTCCCTCTCTCCTCTCTCCTCCCTCTCTCTCTCTCCTCTCCTCCCTCTCCTCTCCTCCCTCTTCTCTCCTCTCTCCTCTCCCTCTCTCCTCTCTCCTCCTCTCTCCTCTCTCCTCTCTCCTCTCTCTCTCTCTCCTCTCCTCCTCTCCTCCTCTCTCTCTCCTCCTCTCTCTCCTCCTCTTCGTCCCTCTCTCTCTCTCTCCTCCCTCTCTCTCTCTCCCTCTCTCTCCCTCTCTCCTCCCTCTCTCCATCCTCTCTCCCCCCTCTCTCCTTGAGTGGAGTGAAATCCCTCTCTTATTCATATTTGATGTTGGAGCTGCATTCGTCTCATTTTGGTTAAAGGCGGGCGGTTGTTTGGGGAAGAAATAATTCACACGTTTCTGAACCGTGTTCTGGCTCCGCGTCTTTCTCTCGATTGATTTTTACTCGAAGCGCTGATTTGTTGTAAAACTAAAACTTTTTCTGGCCCCAAGCTTGGAGAAATGATGAGAGTTCGATGCTGAGTAACAACTTTAGTGGAGAAGTGTTGAGCGTAGATGAAGATCCAGACTCTCTGTGCTTCATTTTCTTTTCATTCACAGTAATAGTTATTTTAAAATACTTTCTCACTCTGATATACATATGCAACTGTTTTGTTAGTTTCATTTTTTTTGTAATAGTCTTTCCAATTGAACCAATGAAAAAAATACCAGTTGTTTCACTTTATCTTTTCCTTCGTTCTATTTTGCTCGTTCACTATCCTCAAGGTGAACAGTTTGAATCAGTGCAGATCTATTCAAATACAATAATGAACATAAAAACACTCTTTCTTTACACGACATACAATTTATTGTCTCCATGGAGCTGTATATTCTATGGCAAAGACGTAAACATGCAGGTTTATCACACTATACTGAGGAATTAAAACACTTGGCAATGAAATAAATGCAATATTTATAAAGCAAGTTGTGGACCCTCTACCAGAAAAGTTACAGTGTGCACCTTTAAAGAATATGGCAAAAATACTGTAACCATTTGGACATAACACTGACAACTAGGGATGCAATGATATGGTTTTCCCGTGATTCGATACATATCTCAATACATAGATCACGATATTGATTCATTTCGATACATTTTAAGATGCAAAAAAAATCTCATGCAGTTCTCTCTCCTAATGAGTAATAATTGTGGCCGATCTTTTTCTGTTGTTGTTTACGCGATCAGCTGATCGCCCAGTCAGCTGACGCGCGTGCCTAATAGTATAAAGTGACACACGTGTGAGCGCGCGCACGCCGCCCCAACTCACCGTTGTGCCGCTGACGCTTGTTCGGGATCTAAAAGGACGTAATATGGATTACTAACGGACTGTACCGGTTTGGACCACGTTTACGGTGCCAAAGATCAGACCGACGGGACCCAGCTCGACCCGGTGAGATCAGTCCATGTATTTTGCCTTTGCGCGAGGATCGAGGTGCGCCGCCCGAGAGCGCGCGCCGCCGCTGCGGCCCTTTGGATTTAAGTTTTGTTTGAAGATCGTTAATTTGGGATTTATGAGACTGTTTTAAAGGGGTGAGCGGAAATTCAGTGACTCTGGGTTAAATAAATTCGGCGGAGGAAAGACTGATTGGGGCGTGCGCGCGGACAATTAAGACTATTAAGGGGGTGCGCTAAATGAACTTTTATTTTGGCAGTGTTTGTATAAGCGGCCTAATTATAATTACAGTCATACCTTTGCCTTTGTTTTATTTTATTTATTACAAGCAGACAATTATATATAGTTATAGGAAATAATCAGTTACCCATATATTTGTATTTTTTGATTGGTAATCTCCTGCGCTTAGTGTGGGTGTTACACTGTTATAACAATATGATGTTAATGAAACATACCGTATTTTCTGGACTATAAGTGGCTCAGGAGTATAAGCCAAAAAATGTGTAATAAAGAAGAAAAAAACATATTTAAGTCGCACTGGACTATAAGTAGCTTTTTGGGGGGAAATGTATTTTGTAAAATCAGAGACCAGGAACTGACATTTCATCTTGAAAGACAAATGATACTATAACTTATAGTAATAACAACAGAATAGAGAACAGGTTGAATAGGTGTTAATATGTTAACGTAACATATTAACAGTTTTCAGCTGAATATTTCACTATTTGCAGTGAGGCAGAGGCTCTTTCTGCAGGAGACATGTGCAGTAGAGTGAAGTGACAGTGGTACAGCAGATACTCACACACAAGACTAGAACCTCTCACCGCTGTCAGGGTGAACATTTTAATATATAATTTGTAATGGAGTATAGGTCGCAGGAAACACCCGAACCATGAAAAAAAGTGTGACCTATAGTCTGAAAAATACAGTACAGACATTACACACAGTAGATTACAGCACAACTCGTGTACAGTTGGAGTTTATATGTGAAGTGTTTTAGTCCAGTGATTTACAGCTCAGAGTTTTTATTCAGTGAAAATAGAACAGAGTTTCTCAGGCTGTTTTATATTTTATAATATAGCAGTCTACTCCTAACACAGACTCTAGGGGAGTTACACTATCAGACTTTTCTTTATTTGATGATCATTTGATGAGTTCTTTTCCTCCTGAGTCACTGGGTTCATACGCCTAAGCGACAGTACGTAGCTCCTCCCACACTGCCCCCTACAGTCTGTGACACACTGCACTCTCCCATCCTCTTTCTGGACACTCAAACCATGTTATATTTCATAGAAATATCTCAACACACCATTTAAGTGTATAAGTAAAACTTATGAGATACAGTCTGAGAAAAAGATCACGTATATTGCGAGTTGCGTCACAGGTGTGTATACGAGCACATTTGATTAAAGCTGATTCTTAAGTATTTTAAAGTTCATATCTTTGTCCTTCTGGGTTTATCAATGTAAAATAAAATGTGACTGAAAGATAAAACCCTCCTCTGTTAGAATATTGTTAGAATATTTGTAAGTCCCTATGAAGTTGTTTAATCTGAGGAGGACGCTGTGAGAACTGTTTCTCTTTCATACCAAAACAAATGACAACACAGAGTGCATGGAGGAACCCATGTGTATCGAACAAACACATGTATCAAATCATGACACCAGTATTGAACTGTTCAAAATGATATCAAATATTGTTGCATCCCTACTGACAACATGTTAAAAAGTACATAGATAAAATCTCTTCTGTGTTTAGAAGGAGACATATTTGTGTGTCAATGCTGATTTTGAAGCATAATAAATCACAAACTGAAGTATTCTACCCATAAAAATAATCTGGTAGTCTTTATTTGAATTAATTTGAATTTATAGATTGTTTATTTTATGTTTTTTGATTTTAATAAAAGTGTTTGAGACCATAGAGTGTATAAAGAAGTGGACTAAAGGAGTGTAATGTCCATAGTGTTCAGCTCCAGTCAAATGAAGCTCACATAACGAATAAAAAAAACATACGATGATGCAGAGCTGGTTACTACGAACATTTTAAGATAGGGTGACCAAACATCCATTTTTACCTGTACATGTCCGTTTTTTGCGTTCTGTCCTGGGTGTCCAGGTTTTTTTTTTTTTTTAAGTGGTGGAACTGTCCGGGTTTTCATTATCTTTCACTGGGGCCATTAAATTGAGCCGCTCTCTGTAATTCAGAAGGAGCGAGCAGATACAAACAGTCGGTCAGTCTGCAACATGCCAAAGTGCAAATGTGCATTTAATGATGACTTGTACAAGAAATTTTCCATTTTCCGTCCTGGTCAAGACAAGTGGGAGGCCATGTGCACAGGTTTCGAGGTGAGAGTAGCTCAGTGTCGAGGCCCCATCCCCCACTCCCCACTCCTGGTAAGGTGTCTGGGTTTTCACAAACGGAAATATGGTCACCCTATTTTAAGACCAAAATGTCGAGGCTCACAGCAGCAGTTACAGACAGAGGGGCCACGATATTCCAGCGTAAGTCAACGAGAGCCGGAGTCAGTAGGAGCCGGAATCGTCCACTTACGAACCCGCCTGTCGTTGCTGATCTAACCCTGTCGTCTTTGTTATTGTGCAGGAGTGATCTACACCACGGACATGCTGGACCGTGAGACCAAAGACTCGTACTGGCTGACGGTGTACGCCAGCGATCACGGGGTGGTGCCTCAGTTCGCCTCCATCGAAGTCTTCATCCAGGTGGAGGACGTGAACGACAACGCCCCCCTGACCTCGGAGCCCCTGTACCGGCCGTCCGTCAGCGAGAACTCCCCCCGCGACCTCTCCGTCATCCAGATCCAGGCGCAGGACCCGGACGCGGCGCCCCCCGGAGGACAGGACCGGCTCAGCTACAAGATCGTCAGCGGGAACCCTCAGAACTTCTTCGCGATCAACCCGCGGACAGGTCAGTGCCGATGTCTGGACTTTTCTTTGATATTTTGGATTACGTAGGACCTTTTAAGATGGATTTTCATAGCCATTTGTTCTATTTCTACCTTCTATTTGTCTCCATGGAGATGGCGTTGCGTTGCCTGGAATGTCCCACAGTATGGCATCAAATATATTTATCTCATTACTTGTTTAATCTGTGAAGAGCCGAAGCAGCTCGCAGTAAAAATGCAATGTTTCACTGCAAAATCACCACAAAAAAAAACCAAACATGAATTCCCTCTGTAAACTAGGTCGTGTAAGCTGCTCTGGAAGCCTCACCTGCTAGTTTCCATGGAGACAGTTTAATACCATACTGTAAAACATTCCAGGCAAAGCAATAGACACAAACAAATTACACAATGCAGAGTGTAACTTTTCGGTTGGGGGTCTGTCGGCTGCTTGTTTCTATGGAGATGTCATTGCTCTGCCTTGGATGTTCCACGTTTACATGATGTTTTTTAATTCTGAATTAATTGTTCTGAATTAAAGTATTCTCCTTTGAGCTTACATGAAAATAATAATTCCAAATTGAGGTTTACATGGAAAACACATTAAATCGCCTTTATTTAATTCCGCTCAGCGTCTGGGGGTGAGAAAGGGTTCTGATTGGACAGAGACATGAACGTATTTACGTCAACTGGAAGAAAACACAGACGTCAGCTGCTTCCGACTTTTCTGTCATCCCAGTTTGTCGTTACACCACGGATACAAACACGATCCAAACTTTTTTCATAGTCGTTTCATAGTCAAAAATTCACTCATCACGCTTTACGTCTGTCGGCTGAGGAGGAGAAGGGAAGAGTGTCGGAGAAGGAGGAAGAAGACAAATTGAGTGTGTGGCTGTTCCACCTCAGCCCACTCCCACATCCTGCTCACAAATCCAAAGAGACGTGGATGAAAGTCCAAAACCGGGACTGGTGGAGCCGGATCGTCAGTATCGCGTCAGAAGGGTGAAACAATGAGCATGCACTGAACGACCGAGATTATTTTTAAGAAGAATAAACGTTTACATGATCCATGAACTCGTCTTTAAAATCGGAATAAACCACCCACTTACTTCAGAATTACTGTAAAATCCGGACTATTGAGCGCACCTGAATATAAACTGCATCAACAAAATTTTAACAAAATTTTAAAATTGTACATATATAGGCCACATCTGAATATAAGCCACAGATGTCCACGTCTTCAAGAACGTTTTCCACAGCCACATCAATCAGCCGTTAACCTAAAAGCTGCATCATTTGCATTTCTTTGTGTATTTTCCATGAGAAGGGTGTGGGTATGAAGCGCAAAAGAACTGTTCAAAACACAATCAAACGAGCATCTTCCTTGGCACATCACCCCGTCTCTCCCTTCGCTCTACTGCACATGTCTCCTGTAGAAAGAGTCTCTGTTCTGTCCGTATCATGTCAGTGTCTTGGAGGATTTCAGCAGATTTCTGACTCTCTCGGGGGCGGGGCTACGTCTATCAATCAGGTATGAGTGGACTGAAGTTTGAGACGTTTCTTCTCGTTATTTACGCAGACGGGTAAGACGTATCCTCCTCTCTAATGTTCATTTAGCATCATAACTTATTTTATCACATGGCGATAAACTATATATATATCCCAAGCTCGTGTAGCACCTTCATGTGAACCTTAGATCCATGTGTAACCGCACAGACAGCGGTGTTTTCTGCACTCAGTCTGCATGTATCCGCGGTGTTACTAAACCATAGAGCGTATTATATGAATGGACAATGTGCCAAACAAAGAATCCGTCCATATATTCGCCGCATCGTTTTATTAGCCACAGGGTTCAAAGTGTGAGAAAAAAGTAGCGGCTTATAGTTCGGAATTTAGGGTATAATTCATTTTCTTTAGAAATGAAGTGTTCTCATGGTCTTTTTCAAGCAGAATCATTGTTTTATTCAGAATTAAAGCTCTCATGTAAACATGGCAAATATGACATTAAACATCTTTACCTTACATTTATTCAGGTACAGGTGGTTTTATTGCTCAAAAATACCTAAAAAAATCGACATTCTGACTGTGAGCAGTAGGGCTGGGTATCGTTAAGAAGCTGGTGATACAATACATACCTCAATACATAGGCCACGATACGATACATATCTCGATACAGTGAGCGTTTGATTTGATACAATTCGATACGACAAGGCTAAATCATGGCTGTTTTTCTTATCAACTTTGCACAAGACATGGTTTAACAAAGACTTTTAGTATCACAGCCATGATTTATCCTGTATTTTTTTACTGAACGGTATTGAATCAATTTGAAATCGAATCATATCAAATCAAAAGCTCACTGTATCAAGATATGTATCGTTAAGAAGTTGATGGTACAATACATACCTCAATACATACGCCACGATACGATACATATCTCGATACAGTGAGCTTTTGATTTGATATGATTTGATATATTTCAAATCGATTCAATACCGTTCAATAAAAAAATACAGGCTAAATGATGGCTGTGATACTAAAAGTCTTTGTTAAACCACTTCTTGTGCAAAATTCATATGAAAAACACTCATTTAAATCATCAAAACAGTGAAAATGTCAAATGTGTTGCATAAATGAGTTTCCTTTCACTAAACAAGTAACAAAACTGTAGCTCTATAACAGAATAATTTAGAAAAACACACCAAAAAACACTCTTGGCAATATGTTGATACAGCAGCCCACGATACTGATACTGTATCAACAAATTACAACTGGGTCTGGTCAAGTGGTAACGGAGGGAAACAGGGGCAGGTTTTTGACATTCAGATGTCTCTTATTCAGAAACTAGAGGGACTATTGAAATAAGTAAAGTATCAGAATGTAGGAAAGAGTTACACTCCAACAGGGTCAAGTTAAACCTGTGATATTCTTTCAAGTTGTTGACAAAAATGTTTTTTAAAAACTCATGTTCGGTAACGGAGGGAATGAAATATGCAGCACTTTTTGGGCAATAAATCCAAACAGTGATAACTCTTGGTTCTCACTTCCATATCCTTAACAAACTGGTTTGAATATTTGCTTCATATAGTTTTCTACCATATGGTACAAGATTAGGTTGAAAAACCTCTTACTTTTTGACTCATGAGATTTTTTATTAAGAAAGGTCATGGTAACGGAGGGAAAAGTAACGGAGGGAAAATCGTGCAAACAAGTAGAAGGTGCAGGATTTTACATAATTTGTCAACTTTTTTCTTCCGAATACTTTAATATTACTTCAAAATGAAAGGAAACTATTTCTATATATATTATCTATTCTTCCAAGCAAATTTTTATCATTTTAAATGCATATTTTTTTGAAAAATCCTGTCCCTTCATCAACAGTTCAAAGATGGAATAACACAAGATATGATGAAATACATCCATTTATTTACATGATTTTTGCAGGTCTTTGAAATTTGGGAAATAATTTTTGTTCCATGTTTTCATACATGGTCTGTTTAAAACATATGGAACTTTAGAACCAAAAATGGTACAGAAAAAAGGTCAACAGTTTCATAAACTAGAGTACATATGTATCTGTTCAATACATTTTTATATCAGATGCATTAACTTGAATTTTTGGCCTTGTTGTTTACTTCTGCTTGACCGGGCCCAAAGGTTTAATGCCATACTGCGAAACATTCCAGACAAAGCAATAACATCTCCCTGGAGAAAGAAAAGCATCAGATGAAGCCTCCATCAGAAAAGTTACACAATGCAGTGTCATATTTTTTTCATAACAGCAGCTAGACGGACACTTTTTTACAGTTTTTTGCCACAACGCATTTTATTTTTAGCAGCTCTTGTAGAAATTTTGGCACGGCGCTTATCTTAACCAGCTCCCTCCATCATTTGTAATTACCACAGAGGCGTTCTGCTGTTACATACTACTTATCTCTCTGAAAACATTACTGGCCCATATCAGCCGTTTACACAATCACCACTTCTCAAACCAACTATATTAAATCATAAAACGCCCAAAAAACTGCAGACAGAAGAGAGGATTATGAAAAAAAATAAAAAAGAAACTCGTCCTAACAGCTGTAGTCTTGTTTTCACCCATTGTATTTCTCAGATAAGACTCGAGATCTGCCCAGAAATAATTGGCCGTTTCTATATTTATCTGCGCGACGCTCGTACTTTAAAGAAATCAGATAACTCCACTCCAGCGCCTCTGTTCTCGTCTTTGTAGCGTTATTAAAGCCATTCTTCCACTTTGCCTTTTTCCTGTTGTCATCCCCCATCACCTCGCGTTGCATTGTACTGTCACATCAGCCCGAGTTCACACCCAATCTCTCTTTTCTTCTCTCGTTTTTCTTCCGTCTATCTGCTCATCTCTGTCTCTGCGGCGTGGTGTGAATATTTGATCGTCGTTGGATCATTAAAAACCTACAGTATATGACACGATTTCCTCATCAGAACATCCTTGGAGCTTTGTTTTTATGTTTTATTCACATGTTCAACACATAAATCGACTTGTATGTGAGCAAATTACCAAGTGCTTCATTGCGTTTTTAAACTTCATACACCTTTATGCAGGCGCGTTGACAGAAATTCGGGGGCCCGGGGCAAGAAACCTCACATGTGTCCCCCTCTAATATAAATGGACAGGAATAGAGTCCAGTTCTAGGCCCCTAAAACCCTCAATTTCATTTCTCTCCGGTGACGAGGTCAGGAATCAGAATACACTAAACGGTTTGCAAGAATCCCTGAAGTTGTAAACCGTGCACCAGCCAATCAGCTGTGAAGCCATGATGTCAAACTGCCATGATGTCAAACTCGTCGGGCCTGTCTGGGTCCCTTTTGTGGTACAGCACAACAGTAAACAAAGCAGTGAGATGCAGACCAGGGGTGTCAAACATACGGCCCGGGGGCTGGATCCGGCCCTCCAAGACCTTTAATCTGACCCTCGGCTGATTTTCTACTCATATATTTTAATTATATTTTTTAATAAAATATTGGTCATTTTCTGCGGTGCTGAGCATAG